TAAGTTTTACTCTTTTGTAAATCGTATAAAACCACTAATCGTCACGTGAATTGTTTTCTCAGTATGGTTAGCAAAAAAAAAAAAAAATTGTTTCCTCACTATGGTAACGACGTTTTCCCCCATCAAACTGTCTTTATTCTGTATGGATATTTAGGCATTAATTACGGTTTTATTGAGCCAACTTTTGGATTTTAATGTTTGATCCAAAATATTTTCTCCTTTTTATTTTATTTTTAGCTCTAAGTTTCCTAATACACTCCCACCAGTCACCACCAAAAGTTGATTGAACATGCATGTGAAGGATTTGAATTCTAGTTTTTGAAGAAGAAAAAAAATAGAACTCAGGTGGTAACATCCATGCCAGATCCCCACCAGTATCATGCATGCCATTATTCTTGAAAAAGTTTTCGTGTTCATATTATTTTTCTATTAATTTGTTGTCGACAATCTTAGATTATTTTTTTTTTTGGTCTAATCTTAGATTAATTTAAAATTAAGTAATTTAATAAATTTTCCTCTATTTTTGTTATCAAAGAACACACTTTGTGATCAAAATGCCTTTTCTTCCTTATTTTAAATAGTTGCATGCATTGTTATTAAAGATAAAGTTGTAAAATCACCAAACTGATTGTGGTATTGTTCCTATTTGTGGGTTACGAACTCAATCTGTAATTTGGTTTATATCTCATTTTGATTGGAATCTTCTTTTATGTAAAAGTTACGAATTTACTTCGGGGTGGTCTAATTTATTTTACACAAATAGAGTAGCAGTGTCAATTCTACTGTCAATTCATTAGAATATTTTTTTTTATCAAACCAATATTTCATTAAAATGAAAGAGTTTAACCTTCACTAAGGAAAGATACAACAAAGCCACCAAAAGCTAAACAAGTCACAATCTCAATCAACATATTGATCAAGCAAATGGTAAAACTAAAACGACAAATACTCATATAGAGCGTTGGGTATAGAATTGAACTCACAAGTTCAAGCAAAGTAGTAATCGAATCGAGACAAACAAAATCATGATCGAAACCACTAAGAGAGGGAAACAACATCTCCATAGTCGTTGAGGCCAAATAGACAACAACATCTATTGTTGAACGAGACATGATTAAGGTCCTCGCTTCTGCTCCAAGCAGAATCGCCTTCGACAATGTGCTCCCTATATCACTAATCACACGTGAATAAAATGGGAGGAAAACAAACTCCATACAGGAGAAGACAATAGCCAACTAGCCCAAAGAACCGTTGGTGATCTACTATCCGAAAAAGCTGCAGCAACTAGTACGTAAGAAGCAGCAAGAAACTTGGCTACAGAGACTAAGCTTCGTCTTGATAAGCATTGGAAAAATGAGGAAATCCTCAACCACGAGGAAGTCAGGAAATGCAAGAACGTCCACTGCAAAACAACCGAATCTGATACTAAAGATCCAAGATTGGTGTTGGTGAGCCCATCTCCTATCTCTCTGAAGTGTAATCCTTATTCATTAGATAAGAAAACAACCAGCACAATCGATTGCACACAACAAGATAGGAGGTTTCGAGTAACAGACTCATACTGAGGTAAAAGATCCTCATACTGAAGTAATGGAATCTCATATTGAGGTAAAAGAAGGCTAAGTAAAAACCTAAACACTTCCCAATAAGGTAACTGATGGCTCAAAGAAGGCCAACAAGCCTCATGCTGAGGTAATTGAAATGACTGCGCTCTTAAACTAGGGAATAAAAATCCTAAATTAAGGCAGAATTCAACCAAATTGGAGATATTCCAGGGGGTCTCAGGATTTGTACCTGCTCGATGCGAGTCTAGGAGCAAGGCAGAGATACGAAGATTCGTTTTTTTATCAGAACAAACCACCTGGTCGACGAGACATAATTCGCAGTCAACGCCGGGAAGAAAAGCCGTTGAAGACAAACTCCGGTATTGTACATAATCTCCCAGCCCCCACAGAGGGAAGAAGGAGATTTAGATTGGAGGCGGCGGCAAATCCATAGAGGACCACGCCGATGATCAGAGTAGAGAGAGACGATGTCGCATCTGGCGGGTCAGGAGGTTTCGGTGGAAGAGGAGGCTCCGACAGGGTCAAAGTTGAGACCATTGAGCATGAAGAAAACCTCATCCGAGTCATAGAAGCAGTACGGTCGTGGAGATCTTCTTTCTCAAAATCATCGTAAGCCTTAGCCCTCTGCGAGCTCAGACCGCAGTAGCAGTGTCAATTCTACTGTCAATTCATTAGAATATAAATTATAATTAATGTTATATATTAGATAAAATCCAATCCATAACAAAACAAAAGAAGATTTTACGATGGTGATCGTGACTCACCATGTCACATGTGAAGTGTAGTTGACATAAACATCATATAAATACGATAAAAGCAAAAAAAAAAAAATGTTTTTGAGAAAAGAAGGCATAAAACATAAGTGAAAATTATCAAAGTTTCAAAAAAAAAAAAACATAAGTGAAAATTGGGCCCATCAAATAATTAAATAAGTTGTTCTTGATATGATGGTAGCCAACCATATAAATCAAATTATTGTTACCCCTAACCCACCACAATTTTATATATCTTTTTAATGTACATATATCATATATGCAAATGAAAATTCACTTTTATGGTGAGAC